AATATCCAACAGGCAAAGAGCCTTCACTCTGGAGAAATCCCTGACAGCCCAGCATGGCATCCACAGCCCTCACCCCGAGGATCAAGGGTGTTGGGAGAAGAGGGTGCTCAAAGCTGGTGTTGTACCCCCTCATCCTCCTACATCCCGCTCCAGGTTAGGCTGGATCAGACCCCAGAATTGGCTCACTGGCCTTGCTGGTGCCAGTGGGCTTGGTGGCAAAGGGGCAGCTGTGCCAGGATGCCCAAGCCCACCATGGGCCCTGACCAAAGGGGCTCCATCATCCACCCTTCGAGACAGCATGGACATCCCAGCCTGGGTTGGACCAGCCTGGGCTCCCCAAACCTCTGTTCCCAGCCCAGAGGGACAGGGGAGGACCCTGGTGCCCATCCCACCTGTCTCATGTGGATCTGGGCCCTCTGCTTGAAGACAGACGTGCTGGAGACATCGAATCGCTGCTGCAGACCCTCCAGTTTCAGCTGGTCCATCTTCTCATAGCACGACTGCATCTTCACGGGGTGGAAGGCCAGGTGGGAGAGCTTCTCCATGTACTGGGGACAAAGCCAAGCTCAGCCTCTGCACGTACTCAGGGCAGGGACATTCCACCCCACACGGCTGGAATCTTCTCAGCCTGGGTCTCTCAGTGCTGCCCACACCGGGGGTGGAAGCAGCACTGGCCCTGTCACCCCTAGGCTGGCAGGAGCAGCAGCAGCTCTCACCTCCACCAGCTTCTCCAGGCCGCCCTCGTTGACGACGTTCATGTTCATGTCAGTGACCTCCTTGAAGAACACCTCCCTCACCTCGGCAAAGCCCTGGCTCGTGGGGGTCATCAGGGCCTCCAGGATGGAGGAGATGTAGGGCTGGACGTGGTTACGGACACAGACCTCTGCCTTGGGCAGGACAAAGGCTGGAAAAGGGCGGGGATAAGCACGGTGAGGCTCCTCTGTCCTTCCAGCCCTTCACAGCACATCCTAAACCCACCCCAGGGAGGACGAGCTGCCCCTGCTCCCAGGCCCCTCCAGGAGGAGTCTCCCCCTTTCAGGATAACACAAGGAATTCCCGCAGAGTGCCCCTGCTCTGTGCTGAACCCATTCCTGCCCCACTGCCACGCTTGGGGGGTGACTGCCCACCTTGTCCCTGATCTCCTGGGACAATGCCAGTGAGGACATGCACTCCCCAAGGGTGCTGCACCCCGGGAACAGCCACCCCAGGAGCTGTGGGCACACCCACACATCCCTGTGCATCCCTGCAGGGCTGTACCTCGGATCTTGCTGGCCAGGTGCTCCTTGGAGGTGATGATCTGGTCCATGTCCGTGCGGATGGTGCTCTCCAGCTGCGGCCGCTCCTGCTCACACCTGGCCACTGCTGCATCATACTGGGCCTTGGCCAGCTCATAGACCATCCTATAGACAGCATCTGACACCTGGGGGCACAGGTGGGGGGTCAGAGTCCCCCCCACGCCTCCAGCTGCATCCCCAACCATCACCTGCAGCACCAGCTGGCTGCAAGACCTGCTGAGCCATCCCCTGTGCCCTGACAGGACCCTTCCCCACAGCCTGGCAGGGGTTTCCACACCAAGGACCCCCAGCTGGGTGAGATGAAGCAGCTGCAGAGCAGAAATGGCTTCCAAGAGGTGCTGGAAGGCCAGAGAGGTGAGCGCTGCCTCCATCAGGCAACAGCACCAGGTAGGGCTGGGACTGCTGCAGATCTGGGGATGCTGCATGTCTGGAAATGCTGCATGTCCAGGAATGCTGCAGATCTGGGGATGCCGCAGGTTTGGGGATGCTGCATGTCCAGGAATGCTGCATGTCCGGGAATGCTGCATGTCTGGAAATGCTGCATGTCTGGGGATGCTGCAAATCTGGGGATGCTGAAGGTCTGAGGATGCTGCATGTCTGCGGATGCTGCATGTCTGGAAATGCTGCAGGTCTGGGGATGCTGCAGACTGGTGGTCCAGGGACAGTGGTAGTTCAGGGATAGAGGTGGTCTAAGTGAGCCCACCCTGCAATCTGTTCCCTGCCCTGTTCACCCTCGCCGGGGTGCCAGAGCAGGATGGAGTCGCTGAGGCTTGACTCTCACTTTGCTGCCAAAGGCTGCGATTTTGGGGCTGTTGGGACTGGCAGGATGCAGAGCCCTCCCCCTCCTCCCTCCCCCGGGCTTCCCAGACCGCAGCCGCTGGAAAAGCAGCGTTTGTGTGTTTTCAGGCCGCTCAAGTGGCCCATTACGAGCCTGGTGGTAATTATCGGGCTTTAAGGCTTTTAACAGGCAGTTGTGAAGAGCCCTCAGTCTTTCGCAAGGGCTTGGGCTGGATTCAGCCCGTGCTGCTCTAAAAATGGCTCGCTAAATTTAGCCAGGACGGGTTTCGCTCCGGGGCTGGGCTTCCTCCTGTTTGCTCGCCCGGCCCCAGGGACGCTGGGCAGGGCTGGGGCACAGGAGGAGCTTTAAAAAGGCACAGCGGAGAAAGGACGGATTCTTTGGAAGGGGCCGGGAGAAGGGGGCACCGAGCCCGGCGGGGAGGGAGGGAGGGTCCCCAGGCAGGGCAGGGGGAGGGCAGCGCTGCGGACCCCCCCGGGCAGCCCCAGCCCCACACCTGGATCCAGGTCCGCTGGCGCTCCGGGGCTTTGCCCTTCAGCCGGGGCCCGATGGTGCTCCTCAGCTCGGGCAGCAGCTCCTCCATCACCAGGTTGCTCAGGACCTGTGGAGGCAGGAGGATTGTGGGGAGCCTGCTGAGCCCCCCACAGCCCTCCCAGCGCAGTTTGGGGTGCGGGTGCTCACCTGGGTCTCGTTGCCGCAGAGCATGTCCCAGGTGCCGTACTGCTCCTTGGACTGCCGGTACATGCGGATGGCGTCCGTGAAGGCTGGAGCCTCCACCTTGGAGTCCTCGGAGATCCCTGCGGAGGGGATGCGTGTGAGCAGCCTGGGATTGGGAATGAGGGGCAGCCCAGCACCCCCAGCCCACCTCTGTGTGCTTCCCCCACACCCTCGGAGCCGTGCGAGCCCCCAGGGATTGGCACCGGGATTGTCACCTGTCCCAAGCCACTGTCCCTGACAGGCTGGGGGGCACAGAGGTTGGGGGGCTCCTGCTACGTCCAGAGTGGGCCCCTCCAGAGCCACCCCGAGGGCAGGGAGGCACCAGGAGCAGGGGCTGGGTAGGGTGGGGGCTGAGTGACCCCCAAATGGTGCACGGGGACCTGGGGGCTCAGTGACCCCAAATGGTGCACGGGGACCTGGGGGCTCAGTGACCCCAAATGGTGCACAGGGACATGGGGGCTCAGTGAGCTCCAAGGGCACAGCAGGAGCAGAGGCTCAGCAGGATGGGGGGGTTCAGTGCCCCCCAACACCACACACACCCAGTGAGCCCCCAGCAGTGTGGGATGGGCGAGCTGCAGGGGCTGGAGGAAGAGGGTCCCTGCAGGGAGCAGCGTGGCTTGGAAGGAAGAGGAAAGTGGCCAAGAGGCTCAGGAGTGACTCAGGGCTGGGCTGTCCCGGCTGAGTCACTGCACACGAGGGGGGCTCAGGTGTCACCCCCACCCTGCCACAGCACCCTCAGGAGGAGGGGCAGGGCTGGGAGCCTCCCCAGCCAGGAGGAGATGGGGACAGCGGGCAGGCAGGACAGCTCCGGAGCTGTCCCACATGTCCCATGCGTGTCCCTGCCTTGTCCCAGCCTGTCCGGGCTGTGGAGCTCCCTCCCAGGCAGGGAAACACCCCTGGGAGAGAACCCTCCACCCGCAGCTCCCCTTCCCATGGCTGGAGGGGGGGATCAGGATGGGATGTGAGCCAGGGTGAGCCTGCTGGGAGGTTCCAGGGGATCATCCCTGCAGTGCTGACACGTCCCACACCACCTGGCAGTGCTGGGGACACGGCCAGGTGTCCCAGAGGGACAGCCCGGGGCAGTAAGCAGATCTCTCCCAGTGCAAACAGACTTTTCTAAGGTGATTACAATTAACTCCAAGCCTAAGCAGCTTTTGCTAAGGGGCAGCTTTATAATCTGGAAAAAAAAACCCAAAAAAACCAAAAAAAAACCCACGGAGAAAGTAAAATCTGTTCCTTTCTCAGTCTTTGCTGAGAGCCAGAGCTGGGCTGAGCTTCCAGGGGTTGGTGCTGCTCCATCCACAGCCCCTCCCAGGTGGGACAATTTCTCACCTTCTGTCCCTACAGGGCCTGGGGCAGGATTTGCCCCCAAGAACCTTCCCAAGGTCACTCACTGCAGGCTGAGCCTGGGGCCATCCCTGAGTTTGTCCCCAGCCCTGTGCCCTGTCCTGGCAGGCCTGCTCTGAGAAGCCCCCGTGCCACTTCACAGGGCAAATTTAATGAATTTCC